AATAGAAGTGCTACGTTATTCTATGCTTCATGCAGCATTGGTTATGTAAAGTGAAATCCATTAGGGGAAACAAGCATTTATGGAACAAGAAGGTGTTGCCAATATAACAACTGTGTAGTTTTTGTATCAACGACGTAAAATCATAAACAAAATAGTTGTTGTATCAATGACCCAAATTGCAAAAAAAACCTAAGAACAAACGTAAAATCATAAACAAAGTAGCTTGATATACGTACCAAGATAATATGAAATCTTCCCGGAACCGATCCGATCACCAGAAAGCATCAAAATTATCGATCAAAAGGGCCAGTGGGTCGAGTTGCTTGCAGAGACAAAGATAAGCGAGATAAATAACGCGATCTTGGCAGCAGTGCGATGAAGATTGGTGTGTTTGCAGAAATACTTGAGGTGTTCGAGAGTGCAGCAACCGATCATTTGGCCGAGCAGCAAGAATAGCCAGTTGATGGCTTTCTTCTTGGCTGAAATCACCGGCTTCGCGCTGTTCTCTTGGCCGCAAAACCTGCATTTGGGTAACACGGGATTACGCCAAACAGGTGGTGCTCGGTCGTGCATGGAGTGCTTGTTACGCGCTATGTAACCGCCGATTTCAGTGAACTTCTCTATCAAATCGAACTCCATCTGGTACTGTCTCTCGCACCGCTTGCATTTGACGTCGCCGGTGATGGTACGGATCCCGTTCGACAACAAATGTTGAAGATCATGAACAGTGGCTCGGTGGTTCGTCGCCCATGGATATGGAGGTTCGATCGTCTCGCTTTTCCCTTTTCGCGGAGCATTTGTAGTAGTGTTCCTCCGATTACGTACGTTTCTTGATGGGCCTGCTCCGGTTATGGTCCCACTTCGGGGAACATCAGCCGGAGACGGCGAAAAAGCGATCTCCTCTGGTGGCGCGTAGAGAGAATGGTTGGCGGACAACTGAAGCGGGTGGGAAGTTGGTGATTCATAGAGAAGTGTTTGCACCGGCGACGGCAGGGAAACCATTCTTCGTGTTTCTTGTCGGGGAGACACCGTCACCGGTAACGTAACCGCCACCGGCGGTGCCCTGGAAGACGGCCTTGGACTGATAGACAAACTTAACTCTAGATTATCGTCTTGTTCGTCACCCATGGTTTCTTGAATTGAGAAAATGGGAATGAACGATGTAACAAATGTAAGATTTTTCCGGTGAGAATTTTCTTTGAAATTGGAATTCTTTATAAAGAAACTACTCGGATTCTTTTCTGTTTAGGGTTTATGTTCTTGAAGATTTTATACCGTGAGGGGTCGATTGACTTGGTCCGGAGGGGTAGTTTTGTATGTATGGGTGATCAAATTGTATGTTTAAAGGGACTATTTGTTCTTTCGGTCCCTATACTCTTCATACATTAGTTTTCTCTTTTTATTCTTTAATAACTATAGGTCCATTGAATATACTAACTCGATAAAATTTCTTGTTGATAATCCAATGTAAATATGAATATTTAAACTACTAAATCAGATAAAAGTTAGTTTAAAAATCATTGATTCTTATTACTCAATCTTATACTTATTTTATTTTTCAACTATATCTTAACTAAGAAATAATAAATAGTAAATAATAGTAATAGAAATATTGTATCCCTGCTAAAAGAATGTAAAGAATATTTATCGATTGATGTCTTCAGTTAATTGAACTTTATTTTAATAAGCAACCTTAAAGATAGAGTGTGTGATTAAAAAACATAATATGTTGGGAACAGTGATATTAATCATATAATTAATTGATGTTAATTACTCACCATAGTTCTTTGAATATATTAGAATTTTCAACATATCAATAATTAATTGAAGTTATAACACATTATTACATTAAATAATTGTCTTACAACTTAACATTTCAACTATTAACATGTAATTAATTCAAAAAAACTTAATAATTCAACGATTTTCTTAGCGAAATGTTCGACTCTCCTAAATCTTTCAGAGGTGTGAGATGAAATTAAAATATTCAAAAATTTGAGAAATAATATAGAATTAGGGTTACGGTTTAGGATGAACATAGAATGTTAAAAAAATAAAAGACTAAATTAAGATGAGGATAGTAATTTAAAGATAAACTTAAAATATTCAAAACTTTTAAGGATTGAGAAATATTAAATATAGAGTATTTTAAATAAATTTCTTAGAAAAACAATCTAAAAGTGTTTAAAAATAAATAGAAAACCTTAGTTCAATAAATATAAATAGACAACCTTAAAAATAAATTATCTAATTAAGTCCTTTATGAATTAAAGATTATAGATTATGGAAATGAGATTAAGAGATTAATGGATTATGGATTTTAAGAAATTTTTTTAGAAAATTAAATATTTTAATTTTTTTAATTGAAAGAATCTAAACATCAGATCGTATGTCATGTATTTATATAATGATATTTTTTTATGGTTCGATCTTGAAATGATAACATAACGAACCATTAAATATTTATTTTGAAAAAAAAAATAGACATCTAAATTAAAAAATAGTTTAAACACTTACTTTATATTAAGTCAAAAAATCATATTATCTTATTGTTATTTAGCTATTACCTATAGTTATTCAAGTTAAATATTATAAAGATCTCCCTCGATTTCTATAATATGTATTTTTCACATGAAAGTTTTGATTAGTACGGTCCATGCATTACGATAATACTCTGTATTGGTTGCAATAATTTGAATCTATAACTTGAAATTAGGCTACATAACTAGTCGATTAGGTCATGCAAAGTGTCACATATTATAAAACTTTAGACTTATCTAAACTCGATACTTGAAGAAGGTTAGAAAATCCGATTACAAAATAGTCTCTCGACTATAAGATGCTACTTTGTTGAGTCAAAGGACGGAGCCACTAAGGGTTTGGGAGGGACTATGCCCCCTACCAGCCAAAAGTTTGTTTTTTAACCTTTAATTTATATGTAAAATTTAAATATTTATGGTATAAATATTAAATTGCCACAAAATTTTAAAAAAGTTATAGTTTGCCCCCCTCAAGTTGAAATCCTAGCTCCTTCCTTGGTGGAGTCCCCCAACTATTAGAAGTTACATAATGGTCACTAGACAATTTAATATGTTCCAAATTCATCCTTTCAATAAGAGATTGACCATAGTCTGAGCTGGATGTTAACCTGTTGATTGAGACATGATAGTTCTTTTAGATTCTGAGATCAAATTTTATCATATCTTAATCAACAGTTTAATATCTAACTCAGATTGACATCAATTTTTTAACGGAAAATGTCGAATCTTGAACAAATTAAATAATCAATGAACATTTTAACTTTTAATTGTCGAATGACTCAACAAAGAAACACCCTATAGTCAGAGACCATTTTTTTAGCCTTAATGTCGTTTTTGGTGTTTGGTTTATACAAACCTTAATGTTTTATTGAACTTACGGTTCTCACGAGTTATTTTGTAGGCTAACTTAGACAAATGACTTTAATTTCTTTAAGTCCGCATTTTTTTAGTCGAAATTGTAACCCCATAACTAAGATAACACCTATCGTAGAAGTAATTCGACGAGCTTTAAGGCCAATTATGGTCGAGGCCATTGATAAATACAAGAATGAAGAGAAAATTGAATCATGTTGTACAAATTATATATTACATGTCAGCAGGGATAAGGTAATGGGTAGATAGGATAAGGATAATGGATAGATTTTAAAAATAAGAGATTAAATTTTAAATTTACTAATAGTATAGGAATAATGAACAAATTATACAATTTTTTTAATGTATACCCAAAAGTGGTATTGAATTTTAAATAAAATTACTTGTGATAATTCAATATAAATATGAAATTTTAGACTACTAAAAAATATAAAATTAGTTTAAATTTAAAAAAAAAGATTAATAAGATGATAAGATAAATTTTTTAGCTTTTTATATTAATATTTATTTTCAAAAATCAAAACTAATTTTTGTCTTATTTAGTTGTTTAAAAGTTCATATCTACATTAAATTATCAACAATATTATCCTTTAAATATATAATTTAATCTTTTTAAAAAAACTAAGAAATTTATCTTATCATCTTATTTAATATTTACCTTTTAAAATTTAAACTAACTTTTATCTTATTTAGTATTTTAAAATTCATATTTACATTGGATTATCAACAACTAATTTGATGTAAGATTCGTTCAAATTTTATATTTACATAAAAATTATATAATTTCTAACCATTCTATACTCTTTGTAAATTTAAAATGTAATATCTTTACTTTAACTTTTAATAATTTTAATAATTTTATATTTAAATTTCTATTGATAATACTATCAAATGGTTATCATGAATAATTTGATTATTTATTCATTTAAAAACAACATATAATATAATGGGACGAAAGTCCTTTGAAAGTGTTGTCAATTAATTTATAATAATAAAAAAATAAGGAGACTAAATTAATGTAGGAAGAGTATAGGGACCGAAAGCACAAATATACCCTTTAGACACCCAGTTTCACCATACAAAAACTACCCCTTCATATAAAAAAATGCTCTATAAAAAAAGGGTAAGTACACCGGATGGTACTCTGACTATATGATATTATTTTATTGCATCCATAAACTATTAAAAGTTACAAAATAGTTCATCAACTATAGGGAGTTGCTTTATTGAGTCCCTCAACTATTAAAAGTTACAAAATAGTCATTCAATTATTCATTATGTTCCAAACTCGTCTTTTTTTTTGTTAAAAAATCCAGTAGTCATCTGAGTTGGATATTAACATGTTGACTGAGATATGATAGTTGTTTGAGATTATGAGATCAGATTTTATCATATCTCAATCAACATGCTAACATACAGCTCATACTCCCGTCAATTTTTAACAAAAAAGACGAGTTTGAAACATAATAAATAGTCAAATAACCATTTTGTAACTTTTATTTTTGGATAAATTCCTCATATTATTATCCAAGAAGCAGTAGAACTCACTATTACAACAATACAATGCCCAAAAACAGCACCCACCTCCTAGGAGGAGCTAATTCCCCAAGCTAGGCAAATATCCCTGTTAACTACGCTACTCTTTATGGCTATACGAACAGATTTCATCCTAACAATCTCTTTAATACAATTCACAATGTTATCAACGTCTCTGCTGTTACCCCTAAATTGCCTATGATTTCTTTCTTCCCATATACAATATACATATGCACACCAGGCTATTCTAAGTATAAAAACAAGAAAAGTTTTGCCCTTAAATCTAGAGATCGCCCAGCTTAATTCCTCATCCCAGCTTCCCACTGTTCTGTCAACATTACACAGTCGAGTGATGATCCCCCAAGCAGCTTTCGAGTATGAGCATTCAAAGAATATATGGTTGCGGGTCTCAGCCTCAACACTACATAGCCTGCACTTATCGTCCACCCCAATCCCCATTTGGATAAGTCTGTCAGCCGTAGGTAATCTGTTAAGGATAGCCATCCAAGCAATGAAAGAGTGCTTGGGAATGTGCATAGGAAACCAAACAACCTTGTGCCATTTCACCTTCACTGTCATCCCCCTAATCTCCTGCCACAGCCAATGAGCATTAACCTTCCCCCAGAATAGAGGTCGCACTTCCTCTCTAACCTTCAAGATTTTACGTATGCTCCAACTGAAAGATGGTTTACTTTCAACTGACTAGAGATCAACCCCTTTAAAATAACAAAGAGAAAAGAATTAACCAAGAGACCATTTATATACTTTACCCTAAAAAATAATGGGAAATGGCTCTATAAAATCCTCGATAAATTTAACCCTATACAGAAAAGAATTTGAACAGTTTCTTATTTAAAAAATCTCCCATGTCAGAGCCAGATTCTCCCGAGAAAATCTTTACATTTGAATCTTGTTTCATTGAATTCAGAAGCGTACACATTCATTTCAATTTTCTCAAATATTCAAGGAATTATGGATGACCAACGATAAATCAACGAAAGTCCTTCACAACAAGACGATCTTCTTGAGTTAAGATTGTCTACCAGTTCAACGCCGTCTTCCAGGACGCCGCCGGCGGTTACGGTACCGGTGCAGGTGTCCCCGCAACAAGAAACACTAAGAATGGTTTCCCTTCCGTCGCAGGTACAAACACTGCTCTATGAATCACCAACTTCCCACCCACTTCAGTTGTCCGCCAATCATCCTCTCTACGCACCACCAGAGGAGATCGCTTTTTCGCCGTCTCCGGCGGATGTTCCCCGAAGTGGGGCCATAACCGGAGCAGGCCCATCAAGAAACGTACGTAATCGGAGGAACACTACTACAAATGCTCCGCGAAAAGGGAAAAGCGAGACGATCGAACCTCCATATCCATGGGCGACGAACCACCAAGCCACTGTTCATGATCTTCAACATTTGTTGTCGAACGGGATCCGTACCATCGGCGGCGACGTCCAATGCAAGCGGTGCGAGCGACAGTACCAGATGGAGTTCGATTTGATAGAGAAGTTCACTGAAATCGGCGGTTACATAGCGCGTAACAAGCACTCCATGCACGACCGAGCACCACCTGTTTGGCGTAATCCCGTGTTACCCAAATGCAGGTTTTGCGGCCAAGAGAACAGCGCGAAGCCTGTGATTTCAGCCAAGAAGAAAGCCATCAACTGGCTATTCTTGCTGCTCGGCCAAATGATCGGTTGCTGCACTCTCGAACATCTCAAGTATTTCTGCAAACACACCAATCTTCATCGCACTGCTGCCAAAGATCGCGTTATTTACCTCGCTTATCTTTGTCTCTGCAAGCAACTCGATCCCACCGACCCTTTCGATTGAGATTCTTGATACTTTCCGGTGATTGGATCGATTCCGGGAAGATTTCATATTATCTTGGTACGTATATCAAGCTACTTTGTTTATGTTTTTACGTTTATTCTTACGTTTTTTCTGCAATTTGGGTCTTCTGATTTTACGTCGTTAATACAAAAACTACACTGCTGTTATTATTGGCAACATCTTCTTGTTCCATAAATGCTTGTTTCTTACAATGATTTTCACTTTCCATAATCAATGCCTGCATAAACCATGAAGCATACAATAATGTAGTACTTCTATTAGCTAGCTATTAGCTATGTTATTCTGATTCGAATAAAGTGTCGGATATGAATATATATCGAAGTACAATGGCTAATATATGTTGCCGTGTCCACCTTAAAATTTCTTGGAATTCAAATTTTTTGTTTTAAAATTTAATTTTTTTTCTATTAATATAATTTTTTCCTATTAATATATGTGTCATCAGCTTACAATTTTATCATGTTCATTCGGTACAAAAAATTATAGTATTAATACATGTGTGTCCATCCTGAATTTAGAAAATGTAAAGATACTTTAGATATAACATATTTATTTGAACAAGATATTAAAAATATTATACCGTAAATATAATTTCTATATATTTTGAGGTTTATGATCTCTTATTTTTATGTTTAATTTTGTTTTAGATATAAATATAAATATAAATATTTTAGGAAAACTGAAAACAAAAGCTACTAACATCAGCTGTAACCCCCTTAGACTGATGCGGATAGCCTGATCCGATCTGAAGTGTCACATTAAGGCCACCAGAGCGACCCACCGTAAAATAATAGAAAATTTAAAACTTTTTATCAAAACATATAAACTCATAAAATTATTTATGAATACAAAATAAAAGTTATTAGTATTCGAAATAAACCAGATTTTGAGACTCATATATATAACACAAAATACAATCTACATGTCCCCTAATCACATGTATCATACTCTACAAACAACGCCGGAAGAGCTCCCTTACTGAATTCGATAGATGCACTGGTACAATTCTTTTAACCTGCAATGGTGAGTAATAAAGTGAGTTTCGGAAAACTTAGTAATACAGAACTACCATATGATGTTACATGACATGCAGATAAATGGGAAGCCATAATTTCCTTATTGAATCAAATGTATACCAATTGTGGAATAATTTGGGGTCCCATTAGTAGTTCATCGAGTAGAAGCCATGAATCTCAGTTCATAAGAAACCTTTCATACTATCACATTTTCATGAGGTCGAATAGAATGTCTAGTGTGTTCCATCAGTACGATAAAATCATAATCGGTACACTAATCAAATGATAGTTCAGTAAAATCCCATAAAACATACTGTAGTGGAGCTTTTTAAACTCGTATTTTAAAACCATCTTACAAAGAGTTAACCTAATGGATTATCTTAGGGCCTGAGAGCCTACCCAAGAAAGTTCGGGGCCACGTGGCCTACCTAAGAACACATCTTAGGGCCGCAGGGCCTACCCGAGAATGATCTCAGGGCTGCAGAGCCTACCTAAGAGTCACATTAGGTCCATAAAAATTTTCCAGCTTGATCAGAGCTGTACTTTACAAATCTGTATCTCCAAGATACAATTTATACAATCATACAAATCCATAAGCCATCACCGTTAAGTCGGTGTATCCATAAAATAGTAACCATAGATTTCAGTCTACCACATGTTAAAACAATAAAACAATTTTTCAAACTATAAGGAACACACTAGAGAATCCAAATAATTTTCAGATGCATTTTGTAGTTATCGGAATGGATAACATGAACTTGTGCAATTTGATCGGATTCCAGGAATAAGATCTTATTGAAGAGAATCGATTTCTAACCGATCTAATCAGACATTTCAGATTGATACTTTAGAATTCCACTAAGTTTCCATGTGCATCAGGAAAACGTTCAGGAACTTTTATACAAAATAATTCTAAATTCACATTTACTGCAAGTGATTCCATTACCCAAACAATCAGGGGTATTCAGGAATATACTTTGAATTAATAGGATTTCAGCCAAATTTAACCAAATGAGGTATTAAGAATCTTTTCCTTTTGTGTTACTTGTGTTTTCAAACATGACCAAAGTGATTTTAGATTGAAATATAGAATCGAAGATTTAAGTCATTTACAATCTATGACTATCGATCGTATTATCAAACAACTCGAGTTACACAACTCCCAAAATGATGTATGTCAACAAGTCAATTCATTATCCTTCTAGTGTATTCACTCTTTAATACCATAATGCAGATCCATAGATCATCCCCATAATCATCGTTGAATACATCTTCGAATGGTCTTTATTTCATTTCCACGTTTCAACGATATCAGGAAATACGAAAGTACTTGATTCATGGTTCATAACACATAAAGACAATTCATCATGTAAGTTCAACAGTGTTTCCAGACTCATCCAATCACCAATTTAATCCTCAGCCTTTGAGGTTACTTAGTTCGTTTAGCAATCAAATCTATCTCGGATACTTAAGAATTTTCTAGATTAATTTAGACATTTCTAAATTTCAGATACATATTGTATTTCCTTTCAGTTCAATTTAGTCATATACTAGAGTCATTCTGGTATTCGTGGTTGATCTGTCTCACGAATATCCACTTCTTAGTATCGAATGTGTTCTAGAGTTGATATGAGCAAAGTACTTCCAGAATTATCATCTATCCAAACTTGAGAAGACGAACACACATTCAAGTGATATCTATGTCATTCAGATATATACATAGCATTAGGGTTGATCAACTCACTTAAGTTATGTCCCATAATTTTTAGGGTAGTACAACACCTATGTTTGTTTGGATTCCTTAATTAATCCAAGACAATTACTTAGTATAGGCCATAAGGGCATTTTGGTCATTTTTGTGCTCAATATTTTCCATTCATTTCAAAGCTTGAGGATATCTATTCATTCATGGGCTTGGATATATTCTTTAGACATTCCCATTACAGTGGTATTTTGGTCATTTTACAGATCCAGTGTATTTCAATCATTTTATTTTTCCAATCTTATTATTAAATTCAAACTTATTATTTATTTTAGTCTTTTCGAACAATTCTGACAAAAGAACACCCTCGATAATTTATTCCTAACTCGGATATTTTCAGGTTAATTGCCTTCTCACAAGATACAAACAAGTTATCAGGAATTTTCTCTCTCTGTACAAAGATAAATCTTAACAATTAAATTCGTAATTTATCGAGTTAAATATGAATCCTCAATGTACTTTCTCATTCAGGTTTAACTCAAACTAATTTTACCTCTCAAGGGCATTTTTCATAATTTCTTAACCAGATAATTTCGGTATTAACTCTTAACGAAAATAATTATAATTTAGATATCCTATGGTTAATTGCTTTCTCGAACAATCTCTGATCTTAAAATGATTTCTTTAACAAACTTCTAGTATCTTGCACAAACCCTCTTGGGGTTAAAAACCAGTTATCCAAATTTTCTAACCAAAACTATCATTTCTTATGCACATCTGTAGTTTTATCATATTAATATGTCCTTTCAGAGTTATTAATCAACTTCCAGGGACAATTCTTGTCATTCTACAACATAAGGGTATTTTCATAATTTTACCAAATCAGAGTATTCTCATAATTTCTCATCCAAGCACCTTTAACATTTAACCTTTGATGATATAAATTAATAATTACATATCCAGGCTAATTCATTTATCACTTAATCATAAAACTTGTAGTTTCATTC